TATATATATATATATATATATATATATATATATATATATATATATATATATATATATATATATATATATATATATATATATATATATATATATATATATATATATATATATATATATATATACATAGACACATATATATATATACACATATATATATATATATAGATATAGATATAGATAGATAGATAGATAGATCGGGGATTCAGTCAAAATTTTTGAAAAAGTTTCTTTTACGTGCATTGATCTCAAATTTCTGAAACTTAAGCTGTCATTCATTTGTAATTATTATTGTCTTTTTACGTGCATTGGGCAATTTTTAATAGTATTATTTCCTTGTCTAATTAACCTCTGATCAATAACTGTTATACACACACACACACACACACACGCATATATATATATATATATATATATATATATATATATATATATATATATATTATATAGCAGACCCAATTATGTGCAATCGACAATGTTAGAACCTTTAAATATCAAAGTATTTTTCCAATTTTCAACTAAGACGTTTGATATCAGGATCAAAATTTTGGATAAACTGTCCACGTTCATGTTTGTAGTCTTTTTTTTTTTTCAAGTTATTTCGACCGTCTCTGCACTTCTCAAGAACAATGATCGTGATATTTGATAATAGCTTATCAAAAACTCGGAGAACATGAACAGCTTATCCAGAATTTTGAACCTGATATACAACGTCGTATTTGAAACTTAGATGAATACATGAAAAGTTACACAGACCGACCTTGTATGAGTTGACAAAACATGTTTCAATATCTTTGTGTTGCTATCATTGTTTAATTTATTTATTTAAACAGTGAAATTAATAACAGCCTGCCTATAATCGAAATGCCCCACTACTGAAATCATGTCATTCTTGAGAAAATCAACCCGCAACTCTTTTTTCCTTTTGATAGCCGAAACGTGATATCAGTTTGGCCGCGTCGCAGGCACATTTTGATGAGAAGAGCGATTTCCCTTACGGTAAAAGAGATCTAATAAGAAGGGCACTGACCATTTAAGTATTTCATGCTAGATCCCAAACGAATCTACCAATAGTAGACAACGTGGTTTCTTTTACTTCCGAGGCCGATGTACTGATTAATACGTGGGGTACGCTGATGATATGGGTATTCATATTTAGAATCAGAAGGATTTTGAACAGAAAATCAAAATCCTCCATCAAGTGTTCCAAGAAACAGGATTTAAGTTAAACCTTTCCAATTCAAAACTATAATCTGGAATTGGGATAAATGCGATGATAGCACATACACTGAATCTATCATAAAAAATGTGGAATTAGTAAATTCTAAACAATTAAAAAATATTAGCTCAGTTATAAGAAATTTAATATAGGAGAAAAATAAATTGAACATAGAATATGCTGCGCCAAAGGAAGTTTTGCTCAGAACTGCAAGTTTCGGGAGACGAAAATTTGTTTGTTATGACTTCTCGATCTCGTTTGGTTGTTATTAATTTCACATGTAAGCAAATGAAAAAAAATAGGGACAACAGCCCAAAACGTTTCCACACACTTGAAATATCTTTTACTAGCAGCATGGCCCGGCGTTGCCTGTGTTTGATTCAAAAATCGTACGACTCATACAACAATCGCTATCACTTGACTTAAAATATTTTTGCCCTTCCTTGCCTTTAAAGGAGTGCCCTTTGCCGTGCTGATGTTGCTACATGCCTTACTTCTTGCCTATATCACACTGCGAATTTTTTTCTAAGTTCTATATTAAACATTAAATCTGTTACGAAAAAAGAACTAAAAAAAATGAACACAAAATGATCAGCTTTAAAAAAGGACTCGTAACTGGAAAAACCGAATGAAAAAAGAATGTTAACAACAAATACTTTTTCACACCCAACCCAGTTCTGAGTTTAATAACAAAGTTGCAATATGAGCTCTGGTAAAAACATTCAGATAACCAAAATGGTTGCTGAAAACATGTTTTCAGCAACCATTGTTACCAGTGCTCATATTGCAATTTTGCTGTTATCCTTGAATGTTTTTACCAGAGCTCATATTGCAACTTTGTTATTATTGCTTTTCTCTGGCTCTCCTTATTACTGGTTCCCATATTGTATTTATTTCTATGCTTGGTCGGTCAGAGATTTTGTGGCCTAGCATATGTGCTGATTCCTTAAGTTTACGAATTTTCCAATGGTGTTCCCCTGTCTGTGATCTCAACATGATCCCACAGGGGCGGTGATCTCCCTCTCTCCATATGTGGTCAGCCACGCCTGATTTTTTCTACTTCCCTCGCGTTATAGCTTTCTGGTGTTTTTGAAGCCTTACCTTGAGGGGGGCGGCCTGTCTCTCCTTTATATTCCTTTCCGCATCTGCACGGAATAGCGTACACAGTCTTTAGTCATGTTTTCCTTTGTGGGGGTGGGGGGTCTCACTCGAGAGAGATATCTGCGAAGTGTTGTCAAGCTTTTGAAGGTTGTTCTGATGTTATATGGACCGCAGACCGTTTGTATTTTCTCTGATAACCCCTTCACATAAGGAAGGCAGACTGTTTTCTGAGTGTTGTTGTCCTCCTTCTCCTCCTCCTCTTGTACCCGCCTATCCCAGTTTTTGGGGGCTGCTGCCATGTACCCAGGGTAGTTGTTACGTTGTAGGGTACTACTTATACTGACCAATTCCTTATCTAGCGTCTCTGGGTTGCCACTTATGACTTTTTTTGCTCGGTGTTGTAAGCATCGGACGATCCTTTCTTTTACGCTGTATGGATGGTGGAGTTGAAATTGAGGTACTGTCCGGTGAATGTTGGTTTACGGTATACGGATGTCTTGAACCCATGCTCTGTTCGAGATATTAGTACATCCAGGAATGGGAGTGTGTTGTTACTCTCTTTCTCCATTGTGAACTGTATCGAAGATCTTATTTTCACATGGTCCAGTAGAACCTGGACATCTTCCTGGTGTAGCCAGAGTATGAAGAGTGTGAGTTCAATACCCGGTTAAGGCAGTGGAGGACTTTCAGAGGGAAAATTAGCAGGAGATAACTGATAACTGACATCCATCAAACATGGCCCGTGGAACTAGAACAGTCTACCCCAGTGATCGAAATAAAGGGTTCAGTTCGAAATTCCAACCACCTGAAGAAGGCCGGTGCTTACAACGGCCGAAACTTTGTGATAAATATGGTGACAAAGATGAGGACAATAGTCCGAATAATGTAAATACTGTACATAATATCTCATCTCAGAAATATAGATATATATATATATATATATATATATATATATATATATATATATATATATATATATATATATACTAGTTTACAGGAGGATATTATTTAGACAGAAATACGATTTCTATCTCAATGTGAAAAGAGAGCTGAAAACAGTTAACCCACACAGACGATATTAATTGACAGTCGTCTGTAATGATCCACCCTTCCCATTAATGGATCTGTTCTTAACACATCTATTCAGAAGAATTCAGTTGATATGCATAGTCGACCAAACCTCTGAGTTTGCCAATATTCAGCTTGTCGAACTCTCTGCCTTTGAGCAGAAAGGCACTCAGACGGGGCTATGTCTGTAGGCATAGCCCCGTCTGGGGTGGTAGACAGCCACCTGACCCCGTGGATGCGGAGTCTACGGGGAATTTTTTCCCAGGCGTACAAGCTCGGAAAGCCCCAAATTTAAAAAGCGGCCTTCTGCCACACCCTGCCTTGTGGAGAGAACTTGTATAAATATTGAGTTTAAAATACCTCTTAGGAATCAGGCAGATCGTAGCCTGAAGATGCCTTTGGCTCGCTATTTTCAAACTCTCTGTTTTCGTGCAGAGGGGACTCATTCGTCAGTAAAACAGACAAGAATAGTATCCGATCTCGAAAACACGGGGGCTGGGTAAACTTAAACTATTTTCCCAGGTGGAAACGCTCGGGTTCTCTACATGTCTCAACCATGTGTGGCATCCTAGTGGCGGGAATAGGTAAATGCAGTGTTTACCAAACCTCTTCGGATTCATGCGATCTGCTGTCTTGCTCTGTAGTTGGCTGTGGATCTCTAATGGCAAGAAATCTGTCAACTGAGAAAAATACATAAGAATTGTACCCGATACTTTGCATGTGAGGGCTGGGTAAATTTAGATCATTAGCCTGGATGGAAACGCTCTGATTCCCCAAAGAAATCTAAACTTTGTGTCGCATCTCATCCCGGGGGTGGGGGTACTTGTAAATACTGAGTTTATCAAAGTTCATCGGAGTCAAGCAGTACGCTGCCTGGCTTCGATTGTCTAGTTCTCTGTCTTCGGGCAGAGGAAGACTCAGTCGGGGCTATGTCTACAGACAGATACTAGGCTGAAAGAGAGAGAAGAATTGTACCTCATCCCGCGAATGCCGGGGCTGGGTAAATTTTGACTATTGGCCCGAATGGACACGCTCGGTTTTCCCGGAGATATCTCGACTTGTGTCACCTTGTGTCAATGGAGGACTGTTTAAATACCGTGTTTATTAAAGTTTACTAATAAGCAATACGTATTGTTTTGAACGATTCTACTACAAATAGAATCAGGATAAACAGCAAGTAATCTATTTAATGAGTTTCACTAAATGGATCGTTGAACAGCAAGAAAAAACATCGTAAAGTTCGTAATTTCTTAAACAAAAATACACGATGTAGTTGATAGCCATGATCGTCTACATCCGGAAGGAATGTGGCACATAAAACAAAGAAGATGAATGCTGTCTTCGAATTATTTTACTGAATGTTTTATTAAATTAAACAAATAGACAATCAAATTGTATTTTCTGTCATGAAAGACCGATGCTGTTTTTGATCGGGTCGATTCATTGAAGAATTATTTTCTATATATTCAACGTACTCAGATTGAGGAAATATTCTGAAATAGGAGATAAGCTGTTCAAGAGCAGTAAAATATTCTGTTTTTGGAAGAGCTAGAAAAACTAGTTGTGTGATCATTTTTCTCCCTCATATTAAAGAAGATTTGTCGTTGTCATGCAGAAAAAAAAACTCACTTGTCCACCTCTTTAACAAGAACACAGTGACCCTTTTTTCTCTCCAACCTTCAAGAGAGTTGACTGATTCATTTTTTTATGTTTGCGTACGAATCCCCGAGATATTTTCTTAAATTCGTCCTTTTTTTATTCGACTTCTGACATTTTCCAAATCGTTTTTTAGCTTGAGCGAAATTGTTCATTTTTTAAATAAATATTTGCAAAAGATTACCCGTGATATGTTTGCAAGTAATGAATTATTGATACAGTTTTATTGATTCACTTTCTATATTCCATTACACTTTAGACCAGAAAAAAACGGATAGAATAAACAGCTCTGAATGTGCATTTTATATTAAGCCATCATTTTCAGCCACATCAATTGAATTATCACTTTACCACAAATATTTCTCTTTAAAAAAACATACAGGCACAAGTAGTAAAGAGTTGAATAAACATGAAAGAGATTTCTAATAATTTCTAAAATGATACGAATTATGCTACTAGAACATTCGGCTTCAATGCAATACATGTAATCGTTGTAGATTGGAGGTTATTGAAAACCCTGTGCGGACTATTTATACTATAATGGATTGGATAAACGTCTAAACTATTAGTTGTATACAAAGTGAATAAGAACTCCCGGTGTTTAAGTAGACGAAGATTCCTTAGATCTTATAGACTGGTGCTACAGAATCACAAACAAATACATTTACCAAATAACATAAACGATATCACTTTAACACTTCCAATAACAGCAACAGCAAAAATAGATAGCATATGTAGCTAAATAGGGGAAATAATTTTATAATCAGGATGCTTGCCTTTCGACATTACTTTAAACAAATGTTTAGGGAGGAAACCCCCATCAGTACTAGAAAGATTGATAACTGTTAGTGGACTTCGGAAGCTTGTTTGCAAGACTTTACTAAGAAACAGTTTCGTCCTTGCATTGAATACTGATGTCATATATGGTCCGTTGCCCCGCTGTTCATCTCGAGGTTCTCGACAAAATCCAAAGACGGATATGCAATGTGATAGGTCTTAACGCGGCATCTCGGCTACAGTCAATTTCTCACAGACGTGACGTGGCTTCCCTCTGTCTTTTTTAGAAATATTTTCATGGCAACTCCTCTGACGAGCCATTTTCACTGTGGCCCCAACTGCACGAATTTAAGCGTACTGCTAGGTTGGCAGATCGGTCCCACCCTTTTAACAGCTAAATGTAACCGCTTCTTCTACTCCATGAGATTTGTCTCTCGCACTTCCAGGCAGTGGAATTCGTTTCCTTGAATTTGCTTCGCTGATAACTATAATATTGAAAAAATGGAGAGTCATACTCGCTCCCGGTCTAACGGAACATGGCACATAGAAGAAGAAGCAGAGGAATTAAATTAATAATTATATATAATATTTTTTAATAACATTGAAAAATTCCTTCCATAGTGTCATGGTTAAGCTCGATACATTGGCTAAATAAGTAATTTAATAAATTCGATTTAATTTTGGTGGGGGACCTTTGACTTATACTAAAGAGTCAACCAATACAAGGCCAAGCGCCCATCAAGTTAGATCGTTGCGAACATCAGACAAAGAAGTAAATGCGGATTCTGAAGGTATATTGGGTAAATAAGATGTTAAGATTATCATCTTGGGTTTCGGTTCCAAGAAGTAGCTGTTTACGAGATCGAGCTGAATGGAATTTCTTTCTTACAAATTGATTAAGAAAAAAAAATGATGGTCATTGATCCTGTGTATTCGGCATGGGTAAGAAAGCTAATTATTAAGTCAATGAATGACGAAGGCTACATGTATTCACTATACCATTGGAATTACTATTCATAGATACTTGAATGTGATCGTATTGTAGAAGATAAAGATGTTTTGAAGAAAGTCCATAATTTATAATTTTACTAATGCATGTTTTTGCACTAATAGTTTTCCATTCTTCATATAAATATATTGTAGCTCATATTTTTCATCTTGGACTATCTATCTATCTATCTATCTATCTATCTATCTCGTTCTGTTCATATATCTGCATTCTTATGCATATTACTGATCATTTTGTATCTGTCTATCACTCTATCTATCTCGTTATGTTCATATCTATCTACGCCTCTGTAAATTACTGATCATATCTATCTATCTATCTATCTATCTATCTATCTATCTATCATTTTAATGGAATAACTATGTTATATATACACATAAATAAAAATCATACAATCTCAATGAATAATAAACTATGAAATACAACCCAAAATAAATTTGTATATATATATATATATATATATATATATATATATGTATATGTATATTTCCCAGTGTAGATGTTTGCAAAGGTATATTCATAGATACACCTCTTTAGTTGTCTATACAGCAAAACATTTACTTTGCTGTTATTTTATGAAATATTTCCCCTTTTAATTTAATTACACACGATTATATTTAAAGACATTTTATGTTAAATATTCTTTTTATAGATACAAGTAAATGCTCTGTTTACAATAAACAGTATTACATAACATTTACTGGCCTGAATGTCCGAGAAATTTTCATAGAAAATATTCGTCCTTCGACACGATTCGAACCTGTATCCTATACGGAACCGTCATATCGACTGACGTGCCTTAACGCTCGGCTGCAAAGGATCGTTCGGTTGGCAAGGTCGAATTTACTGCTTATAAACTTCAATTTTCCATGAAGCTCTCACGTACATTCATGTCTGCTCATGGCTTATCAAATGTAAGCCAATGACGTCACACATTATGAAATGGACAAGTTCCGACAATTATTTAAAGACATTTTTATTTTTAACATTCTTTTTATAGATACAAGTATTTAAGTAAATGGTCTGTTTATAATAAACAGTATTAAATAACATTTACCGCTAAATCACGTCACACATTACCGATAAATGTTATTTAATACTGTTTATTATAAACAGAGCACTTACTTAAATACTTGTATCTATAAAAAGAATGTTAAACATAAAAATGTCTTTAAATAATTATCAGACTTTGTCCATTTCATAATGTGACACGATTATATACAATCATCTTTTATTTCTCAAAACCTCCATTATTTGAATGAACATGCTCCGTCATTTCTTCCTCTCCTTCCTTTTAGCTCCAAGTAATTTTTGGCCGATTAACATTTCTCACAGTCTCTATTCTTCCATCATTACACGCAAACTTTTTTTAGTATGTAACACGCTGTTTACACTTGACTTCACCTTTCAATTTATCCAGTGACTGTAAAATATTCTTGACATATTTTCTCATTATATGTCACATAAATTTCAAATTATTAGAAACATATGTTTATTTGCAGTTTCAAAATCTCTTATTTACTAATATGTTCTGTCCACAGTAAAGATTAGTCTTTTTTTTTTTTCCGTAAACTACATCACAGATGCTTCCTGTTTCTTTTTCATCTGTAAGTAATCACTACTACAGAGATTTGACATTACACAGCAGTTTGGAAGACTTACCATTTTTACTAACGATATTTTCCACGATTTTTATATTTAGATTACTTTCTGGAAGATATCTTTCGCTATTCCTGTGCGTCACCGGATAACTGGATTTCAGTTTACGTCGTCAATTACGATACGACTAACACTAATCTCGTCTGCCTATTATCCTTTCTTCGTGTAGATATACACAAAAGTTTAACCAAAAATAAAAAAATAAAAAATTTGGTGCCTACAAATGTGAATATTCTACGAGAATACCTTGCTAACCATTTCGAGTAAATTGGAATTGGATGTTTTTTTTTAAGCCAATGTTTCTGACTATAATTATTCAGTTATAATTTGTCTGACACAATAATCTCTCTCGTAATCATGAATTAGAGTGGAGGTTTTTCTTACTCAACAGTAATACAGGCTGTTCCAATAACTTGGACCGATTTTAAATGTGAATTAAGTTTAAGCGTCTTATTTTTTTTTCTTTTTCTTTCAGATTTAACAACTTAATCCTTGGCACTTTCAACCATGGAAAGACTATCAATCAAACAACGTGTTAAAGTTATCGAAGCCTATTAAGTAGACGTTCCGTTTATTTTTCAAACGTATTTATAACGTCTAGCGGCATCAGTCATCAAAAAAACTTAATAGCGAAGAATGCGTTACACCAGGACTCGTGAGATACTATGAATATATATATATATATATATATATATATGAATATATATATATATATATATATATATATATATATATATATATATATATATATATATATATATATATATATATATATATATATATATATATATATATATATATATATATATATATTAACAATTTGTCAAATGCATTAGTCATACATGGAAATAGGTTCAAACTCTACTCTCTGAAGAATGGCGATCTTATTAAAAGAGAAACTAACTTACCTTGGCGGAAAAATCTTGAATCTTGAAAATGCTTTATCATTCTCTTTTACTTTTTAACTTAATTAAAACATGGGATAAAAAGATAGAGGAAAAGAGGTTAATCAATTGTAATTTGGTTTCTCAAAATTTGTATTTGGTCACCAACCCTCTTTTATAAGAGTTTCATTATAGACTAATGGCAAATTATATATATATATATATATATGTGTGTGTGTGTGTGTGTATGTGTACGTGTGTGTGTGTGTACGTATGTGTGTGTGTGTGCGTGCGTGTGCGCGAGTGTGAGCATAAGATGGAAATACCGCTCAAGACAGATTATGTACTTTAAGCGGGAGTAATTTCTTTTAGTTAGTCAGTGTAATCAACTACGGTTAGGAGTATATCGTTGTCCTCGGGTCAAGCGCCTACAATACCAGCTTCACAGCTCCAAGACGTGTGACGGATAGGTTGCACGTAGACGAGGCAAGCTGAACAACATCTTCTAAGTAAAAAAAATAATGAATAGTAAAATCGAAGTAACCTCTGCCAAAAGATGACTACGATATGGATCCAGTAACGCGCATTAGGCCATGGAGGAGCACATCTTCAATGAACCCAGAACACAGAGAGAAAAATATGTCTGTCAAAAAGGATGGCACTGATATTCATGAGGAAATAAAATATTTTTTTTTCTTTTCCTTTGTGTTGTGTTCTTTTCAGGACATTGGCAATCATGCCTCTCCACTACGTCCTTTCCTTTCCAGCTCTTAATAAGTGTTGTAGTTTTGCTTTCTCTACTAAAAGTTGCTCTACCGTGTAAAGGGTGTTCCAATAACTTGGACCGATATTAAGTATGAATTAAGTTTAAGTGTCTAATGATTTTTTTTCTTTTTCTTTCAAATATCTTGGCAATATTGTTTTACCCATAATTGCCATGAGTTAAATAACATGATGCAATAGCGAAATAAATATATTTTCACCAATACCACTGATTTATTTATTTCTGAATTTTATCCGTCTTAATGAAACAGCCGTATATATAATCCGTCTTAATGAAACACCCTTCATTTACTCACGTTCTCTAATTAGGCTATGCGTTGTTTTACTCTTTCCCTCTTGCCTTCAATCTGTCCTATGAGTTTCCAAGCCCTCTTTATTATGTCTCTTCCTGATGTTAAAGTATAAATATCCTTTTTTGTTTTCATGTTCTGTAAAACTTTACCGTTGCTCATATTTTCAATCCAGCAGCCTTCTGTAAAACTGCATTTCTGTTGCTCTAAGTCTATTCTTCATCTGTGTGGAGATTTCCAGCCTTCTCTGATAATTAGGAGGAGAGATATTACGTAACATTTCAGTAATCTTTTCTCTGTTTCATAGGAATTTTCTGTTTACTTCTTCCAAATTGTCCATGTCATGTATTCAGCAACGTAACTACAAAAGTGAATTGAATTTTCTTGATAACAAGGAAACAATATTACATGAAAATATAAGAGAATAGAGAAATATCTAGAAAAATATAAATGGCGCCTGTTATTTGAGATTTTTGGAAATATATTAATAGGTAAATACAAAATCAAACCAATATAACAATGGTTAGAGTCTGCATTTGATTTCAGTGGAGTTAGTTTATTGTCTTCGTCTAAATTATTTATATAAATTTCCATGACCCAGTTGTTGAGACAGTTGGGTTGCTTAGTTCGTTTGCTGCTTAAAATCGAGAATTTGTCTTTTTCAGTTGCGAAATAACTGATTTCTAACAAGTAACAGACCAAAGTTGGTGGTTATTTTAATGCTGACAAGATTTTTACGATAGGTTCGTATTAATAGAATAAGCATTCTTTGCAAAACATCAGTTTTCATATCAGGTTCCAATGACGTATGAAGAGTTTTTCTTTTTTTTTTTTGTCAAAAGTCTGGTTTATTGTTTGTAATATTTTTTTTCGTAAATGTATTGCTGGTATTTTTACTATAAACATCTATTTTTATACTTTCAAAGAGTTTTGACCCAGTTTGGGGTTTAACTATTTTCACATCGCTGGAACCCTAAACAGGTGCTAACATTCCAGGTCAAGTGGACCTGGGAACAACAGCAATTATAAGGTGGTTTGACGCGCTTCAAAATCTCCTGATTAGAAGGCTTGCGGTCGGATATAGTTGAGATATTCAGGGGACACAGTTTTGTTCATTAAGACACCTGAACAATGGATAATTTAATTTCCTGTTACAAAACCACCAGACAATTCTCCCATCCTCTTCTCTGGACCAATCAAACTGCAATTGGAACGTCTGCCACAGATACTGTATATTTTATTAACAGATACATATTATAATCTTGTGTTGTTCTTTCATCAACTCTCAGCCAAGACTTATCAAAAGATCTAAGTGGCAATAACGATTAATACAATGTTCAACTTCCTGTGAATGCTTCTGGCGCTCTGCATAAGCTTAATGCAAAATAATGTACAAAAAGGAGGAAGTAACAGTGTTCGTTCGAAGATCAGGTTGTGGGATGTGACAGGCTTGCTGAAGCTTTCTAGAATGGATAATTGCGTCATTCGTCTTCTGTGTATCTTAAATAACTATTATTAAATAGATCACGTGTATTCTCTCATGGTTTAATTGCTGATACGAAATTGATTTATTTCCTTTTAGAATTAAATCTATATTTATTACATTAAACTATCTTCTTGTAACCCTTGTTATCATGGTTAATACTTATGGAGCAAACAGACTTGCAATCACAAAGAGGATTAAGTATGACGATAACACAAGAATGTTAAGTAATACGAGTTAAATGGAATATAAATTATAGCAACGAATTCATTTACGTATTATACATATATACAAGGTGAAGACTTTCATCATTACAAGGCTTACGGCCGTATCACGCTGAAACACCGGTTCCCGTACGATCACCGAAGTAAAACAACGTTGAGCCTGGTCAAAATTGAGCTTAGTAACCGCTTTGGAATAAAGATGCTGTAAGATTGGATAGGGTAATGGATAACGGCGCGGCTGATGTAATGGAGAGCCGAGGTCGAAATCTGGTTGTGTTCTTTATAATCATTTCCGTGCAAATAACCTTGGTAATGGTATGAATACTGTTGTGCCACGATCCACCTAATTTCCATAGTGGAGTACCGACCATATAAATATGGGTTGGTACCGGGAAGACGGGGGAGTAACAAGAGATCCAATCCAGAGACTCTGCCCGACTGCGATTAAGTCAACCCATTCTACAGGAACAGTCTTCCCAAGAATATACCAAAACTAACTGTAAATATTGTGTACCTTTTCCTTGTTTCAATACATTTTGTTTACGTACATTTTGTGTTGTATTATTATTATTCCATGCTTATCCAAGCTTCAACAAATACATATCTTCCCTTCCCATTATATGGGTTAACTAATAAAACTTGTATTACTAAACCCATAATCATATCCACCCCCACAAAAAAAGATTGCGTTCAAAATAGTTCATTTTCAGAATTAAATTACTCATAGAGGTTGATAAACCATAAAAAAAACAGTCAACCAATCCTCATTACTACCTACTGATGTTCAAAATGCTCCAAATTTCTGGCGATAGAAATTGTGGGGAGGGGTAAGATAACCTTTTTTCTCGCAATCCTTTCCCTAGTCTATCGCTATATCCATGGGAAATGTACAGACGAACTCTATTTCTTAGTTCCATCAGCTCTAAACTTCACGGTTAGAATCCACTATGCTACGCTCATTGAAGCGATCCATCCTCAATCCCTTCGTATTCAATGGGGGATATGTAAGTTCCACTCGAATAACTTCTCACGAACCGCTGCTTTTTAGAACAAACTCTCAAGATGTTGTTTCCTAAATCACTACAATTTAAACCTGTTCAAGTCTAGGATCACTCGTTATGTTCCCCAAATATCACCATAAAAGGTATCTCTTACTCTGTAACACTCTACCTCGATGGGTTATTGGGCCTTTTATACATAAACGACATTATAAATTTTATTATTTCTTATATTTATAAGCTTACAGTTGCTCTGTTACAGACGTTCTGTGGCTTCCTTCTGTCTTTTTCTCCAAATAATTTCATGGTAACTGCTCCGACGAGCTGCTTTCTCTGGTTTTCAAACTGCATGAATTTAAACATGCCACTAGTTTGGCATCTCAGTGCCACTCTTTCATTGTCGAAACGTTTAAATGTAGCCGTCACTTCTACTCCAATAGCTTCATATCTCGCACTTCCTGTGTGTGGAACTCCCTTCCTCTTACTTGTTTCCCTGATAGCTATAATCTTCAAATATTCAAATGCAATGTCAATCGACATTTTCAGATGCCTTGATCTATTCCCCGTTCTTCTCGTCATCCTTTCCTCTATAACGCCTCTTTACTCTTGCCCCACTCTCTATAACCCCTTGCGTGCTAGTGGCACTCCCGCTTTGCTAGGGGTAAAAGGCTAAAAGAAATAAAAATAAATAGTAAAAAAAAAAAAATGTACACCAAACTTAGTAATTTTTTTCGTAAAATAATTTAATACATTTTTGTCAGTGTCTGCATATTTAATATTAAAAATAGGGAAACATATTCACTCGCAAGATGTTAATACGAAAGATTCGGACAGATACATACTCGTAATGTATGTGCATTTTCAAACGCTCTCCTAAGTAAAATACATTAGAATTCTGGCAGTATCCGTGACCTTGATTTAATCTTAGTGTTAACGAAATAAAGATAGATGTACACTATAAATAGATTACTATTTATTTTGCAAGGAAAGTGCATTAAAAATGGAGAAAATTTCATCCCCACACGTCAGGAAATAAAGAAAATTCCACTAACAGAACAGGGTTATTATATATATATATATATATATATATATATATATATTGGATTTATTACAAGCATTACTCTTGAGTACAAAATACCGACATACATGTCGACACAAATAATTCCTAAAGTATAAATCGATAACTGTCCTCCTTAATCTTAAAATCATTAGAGTTAATTAATCAGTTAATAAATTATAATTTTTACTTTCTACTTTCATTTAGCTCACACACCTCATTTATAATAACCATTTAATCAGTCGTCATCTACATTAGCTGGCTCTTGGGCCTTATACATAATGTAGTTTAGTAAGAAATATTACCCCTCAAACTTGGCGCAATGATATCAGATGCCGTATGCTTTCTTTCTAAATAGATTTTCTCTGCAGCAAGATCATTGTGTTCCAGTTTATTAAACATATAAAAATCCATCATAACTATTTTATTATTTGAAACATTGACGTTTCTGCAAGTAGTTGTCTTTTTAAGAAAATAGTACTGATATATATATATATATATATATATATATATATATATATATATATATATATATATATATATATATATATATATATTAACCCTATTCTGTTAGTGAAACTTATTTTAATTTCTGGCATCACAGGATGGAATTATCTATATTTGCAGACTATTCTCATAAAATAATTAGTAATGTATTTA